TATCGAGCCTTTTTGACGACGGCTGATAACAATCTGGTCTATTTGAGTCCATCGTTGGTTTGGTACAGCGAATTGACATGTTACACGATATCTCTCCTTATGCTTAAAATTAATGTTCGCTAGAAATAAACGATTGTCTGAGTACAGTCGCAACAGACGATCACCATTATCTGTTCGCTGAGTCGGGATACTAAAATATCCACCTAAATGACTTTCTGTTTGGTTTAAGCTACATAAACGGGCATTAAAGTTACCTGCTACGAGTACTATGTCTGAGCGTTTAACTTTCTGAAGAAGTTCAGAAAGCTTTCTGTAAAAGTCATCTTCCACTTCATCCCGGCTGCAGTCAGTGGGAGCGTAGGCAGAAACAACAAAAAGGTAGAGACGTGTGTACCTATCCTCCCGAGTTCTTACTGAGCCATTTAGTCGAACAGCACATAGGCGACTGTTAACAAGGACCCTCTCTAATAGTACTTGTTCTCTCGTACTAAGTGCTATGCCTACACCTGCAAGTTCAAGAGAACTGGCCATCGGGTCGCCAGATACTTGGAGGGTGTATCTCATCGGAACTCCATTTTGGCGAGGCGAGGTCAAGTGAATGAAGAAACTAGGATCTTGTATGCGTGTTTCGGAGACAGTATACATCAATGATACGAGATTCTAGGGTTTTAGCCAAGGAGGCCTACTGGCTGATTTGACATGCAGTGCGTACGTTGAAGGCTCCAGATAACACGAAACTTAGATCCAATGACCCATGCTAATTGTTTTCAACCACCTAGTTCATACAACTCCGCCTGTAGCTCTTCTAGAGTTACTGCCGGTCCCAAGCCCGGGTAAAGGAGGAGGGTTGGGCATGGGGTTAGCGACCCCATCCCGTAGAAAAGCTAACTCGCTAAAAAAACGCTAACCAGAAAAAATCATCCAAACCATTTAAACTCTGTCCTGGGAGTTGAAGGAATAATCATGACGTCAAATAATGAAAGCCGAAATTCTTCCGAAGTCACGTGACCGATGCACCTTCTAACAACCAGAGCAACACTCTTTATAGGTACATGGAACGTCCGGACAATGTGGGAGACAGGAAAGACCAACCAAATAGCAATGGAAATGAGGAGTTACAACATGGCAGTACTCGAAATCAGCAAAACCCATTGGACACAAACTGGACAACAAAGGCTAGGTACAGGAGAGATGCTGCTATACTCCGGTCACGAAGGGGAAAACGCTCCACACACTCAGGAAGTTGCTCTAATGCTGTCCAAAGATGCACGAAATGCACTTGTGGGATGGGAATCTCATGGACCCAGGATAATCAAAGCATCATTCAGAACAAAGAATCAAGGGATCACAATGAACGTTATCCAATGTTATGCACCCACCAATGATAGCAACGACGATGATAAAGATCAGTTCTATGAAAGGCTGCAATCAATTATAGCAAAGTGCTCACGAAAGGACCTCACCATCCTTATGGGAGATCTAAATGCTAAAGTTGGAGTGGACAACACAGGATATGAAGATGTAATTGGACGACATGGACTAGGAGAGAGAAATGAAAATGGGAAGAGACTTGCAAACCTATGTGCTTTCAACAAATTGGTTATAGGCGGCACAATATTTCCACACAAACGCATACACACAGCTACATGGATCTCACCGGACCACACCACAGAGAACCAGATTGATCACATCTGTATCAACAAAAAATCCCGAAGATCAATGGAAGATGTGAGAACCTGGAGAGGAGCTGACATAGCTTCAGATTACCACCTGGTTGTGACCAAGATGAGACTGAAGCTAATGAAACACTGGACAACTGGACAAACAGCACTACAAAGGTTCAATACAGCCTTCCTTCGAGATACTGACAAGCTTCATGAATTCAAGATAACTCTCAACAACAGGTTCCAAGCTCTACAGGATCTACTGAAAGAACAAGAAACTACGATGGAGGACATCTGGAAAGGGATAAAAGAAGCACTAACTTCAACGTGTCAGGAGGTTCTTGGTCCTAAGAAGCATCATTACAAGGAATGGATCTCTATGGGAACCCTGGACAAAATTCGAGAAAGGGAGAACAAGAAACTAGCAAATAACAACAGCCGAACACGAGCAGAGAAAGTCAAAGCACAAGCAGACTACGCAGAAGCAAACAGGGAAGTGAAGAAAAGCATTAAAGCCGACAAGCAGAAATACATGGGAGAACTAGCGACGATGGAGGAAAAAGCTGCAAGAGAAGGGAACGTGAAACAACTATATGATATAACGAAGAAATTGGCGGGAAGATATAGCAAACCAGAGAGACCAGTCAAAGACAAAGAAGGAAAGACAATCACTGAGATTCAAGAACAGAAGAAAAGATGAGCAGAATACTTCGAGGAACTGTTGAATAGACCAGCCCCATTGAATCCACCGAACATCGAAGCAGCCCACACTGACCTTCCAATAGATGTCACTCCACCAACGATCGAAGAAGTCAAGATGGCCATCAGACAAATCAAGAGTGGGAAGGCGGCAGGACCTGACAATATACCAGCAGAAGCACTGAAGTCAGACATTGAAATAACTGCAAATATGCTTCACCTTCTATTCAAGAAGATTTGGGAAGAGGAACAAGTGCCAACGGACTGGAAAGAAGGATATCTCATCAAGATACCAAAGAAAGGAGATCTGAGCCTATGTGAGAACTACAGAGGTATCAGTTTGTTATCAGTACCAAGAAAAGTTTTCAACAGAGTGCTGCTGAATCGGATGAAAGACGCAGTGGACGCCGAACTTAGGGATCATCAGGCTGGATTCCGTAAGGATCGGTCGTGCACAGACCAGATTGCGACACTATGGATCATCGTTGAACAATTAGTTGAGTGGAACTCATCACTATACGACAAATTCATCGACTATGAGAAGGCGTTTGACAGCGTGGATAGGAGATTATGGAAATTTCTTCGACATTATGGAGTTCCTGAAAAGGTTGTCAACATTATCCAAAACTCATACGATGGACTACAGTGCAAAGTGGTGCATGGAGGACAGCTGACAGATGCATTTCCAGTAAGGATCGGAGTCAGACAAGGCTGTCTACTCTCCCCATTCCTCTTCCTTCTAGTGATTGACTGGATTATGAAGAATTCGACATCTGAAGGGAAATACGGAATACAATGGACTTCTCAGAATCAATTAGATGATTTGGACTTCGTAGATGACCTAGCCCTTCTCTCTCATACACACGAACAAATGCAGATGAAGACCACAAATGTAGCAGCAGCCTCCGCATCGATAGGCCTCCACATTCACAAAGGAAAAAGCAAGATTCTCAAATGCAACACGGAGAACACCAAACCAATCACACTTGACGGCGAAACTCTGGAAGAGGTGGAAACATTCAAGTACCTGGGGAGCATCGTTGATAAACAAGGAGGATCGGATGCAGATGTAAAAGCGAGGATCGGCAAAGCAAGGGCAGCATTTCTACAATTGAAGAACATATGGAACTCAAAACAACTCTCAACCAATTTCAACGTCAGAATCTTCAATACGAACGTCAAGACAGTCTTACTGTATGGAGCTGAAACGTGGAGAACTACTACGGCCATCATCAGGAAGGTACAAGTATTTATAAACAGTTGTCTACGCAAAATACTCAACATCCATTGGCCGGATACTATCAGCAACAGCGTTTTATGGGAGAGGACAAAACAGCTTCCAGCTGAAGAGGAAATTAGGAAAAGACGTTGGAAGTGGATCGGACATACATTAAGGAAATCACCAATGTGCATCACGACTCAATCCCTAACTTGGAATCCGGAAGGGAAGCGGAAAAGAGGAAAACCACAGAACACACTACGCCGGGAAATAGAAGCTGATCTGAAAAGGATGAATGTTGACTGGAAAGAACTGGAAAGGAAGGCTCAGGAGAGAGTTGGATGGAGAATGCTGGTGAGCGGCCTATGCTCCTCGACGAGGGGTAACAGGCGTAAGTAAGTAAGTACCTAGTCCACACAGAATTCCTATAAGACTATTTAATGTAATTAAACTCCAAAGGCCAAATTAATTACAATGAATTCATAGTAAGTGTAACCAGTGGTCAATGATTATTTACCTCTAAATACATACAAAGTACACAACTAATCTGTTGAATCGATGTTAGGCACATAAATAGTAACTATATATTATTCCCAAAGTCATGTACTGGCTTGAATAATCTGAGGCGTTTTACAGAGTACCGATGTTAAGAAAAATCAAGGAACTGAAGTAAAGCATAGCTGTATATACGCAGCACATTCAAATAGCATCAATTTACATTATGGCTCACGAGCACACCTTAAACAAACGTCCCCCAACTCCAATGCAACATGATTGACAATTGGATTAAGTGGGTACAACAGTTTATGAAATGTGTATAGAAATAGTTTTGAGCAAGAAATAATATGATTTGTCATACTTTTTGTACACAGAATTGTGATCAAAAGATTTTGGTTTTGTTCTAGTTTTAAGTACTAATAATTATTCTGTCGACAAATTAGTTACAATTCATTTAGAAATGTCTTAAGCCTGGATAATACTTACTATGCGTATGCATTTAACTAGATTTAGTCGATCAATAATGATCTCGACCATTTACTTCCCTATCCATTTCCAAAGCTGAGTATATGGTATTTTATCAGCATCGACAGGTAACATGTGTTGCTTGGACTTTTTCGAAGACTAATTTCTATCAATTAAGAGATTTAGTCGGCTTAGATTACCAAAGGAGCATCAGTTTGCCCTAGATCACAAGTAAATGTGACTGAAGAGCCCGAAGAACTGAAAAATAATGAAGTCTTTTGAAAATGTACATGCACTGGATATTTACAGCAACATAGCAAAAAGCGTATAAATATGGGTACAACGAACGGCTTTAAAGAACACCACAGCAAAAACAAACTGACAATATTACATAAACAGAACTTTAAAAATCTGTAATCTCGAAAATTATTCGTTAAAGTTGGATAAGTACTCACCCGACTTGGCAAACCAGTATCCATATTGGGATCATAATCAAAAAGAGCCCGAACATACATTGTTTTCTTAGGGGTTGTAGTTAGACGCGGTGGGCAAGATGAGGATACATTAGTAAACAATTCAGTCGGAGAATTACAGAAAGGCACAGATAAAGAATTATTGGTATATGAGTCAGTTGAGTTATTTAACCGTGTCATGATATTTTGGGAATTGTCTGAAATACAGGTGTTCGTACCATTTAACGGTAAATCTGAAGTTGTTGGTAGGATGTGTTTGGAGTTGGGGACAGAATTAGATGAGTGGAACACATTCATTGACGATTGCGAATAATAAGGTAAATTCCTAGAAATATCCACAGTATATTACCCACATGAAATTTCGTTTATCGCCTCAATTAAACAGGACTAAATACCAAAAGGAAAAATAGGTAAGGAAATCATTTACTTTTTAATTGAATGAGGAAAACATGAGAACGTTTAACCATCAACTCCTTCAATGACGGGTCTGCTTAGAAATGTGGGTAAAGTTATATACTTTAGTCTAGATTAGAAGACAGTTTGCAGAAGTAGTTAATAGATATTGTCAAACGTTTGGATAATCCTTGTCGTAAGTAGTAATTTTTTAATAAATTCCAGAGGCAAGCAATTATCAGACCCTTTCGATTGGATAGAGAGTTCAAATCAAAACTGTCTACTACAGATGGCAGCGCAATAAAGGACAGTTTATTTACAACCCCAAGAAAAACATCACAATCCATGGGTAGAGAAAAAAGTAGAGCGTCTGGAAAAATTAACGAGCGCACCTGAAAACAAACCGGTAGAGGTATAATCGTACTATGAGTGTCGAGACTATAATTTATGGACGAGCCAATCAGAAGAATTTGAGGGATTTCAAGGTCACGGTGCCTATTTCAGTATCTGATGCTCATGTACGATCGGTTCACATAGGATTTAAGAGAAGACTTGACAATTAAGCGGCCGCAACAAATAAGACTATTAAGAAGTTCCTGTATTCGTAATTGCGGTGATTAAATGACTTGCAGACCTTATACAGACTAACGTGATATTGTCTTTCGATGTAATACATGCTAGAAAAGGAACCTTTATCGCTCGATCCAGATTGAGACTAAGGCATATTGTAATAATTGTATATATAATAATAATATATAATAATATAATAGAAGAATCAGTAACATTGTTTGCGATAATCGCAGATGTTACTGAAGCTTCAGCTGTTCAGTGGTATGAGTATTGTAGAGAAATATCCATGATAAAGATGATAAACTTACACAGCCGGAGTACACGCAATGGTGAGGCTATGTGGTCGAGCCTGAAAGTCTTTGAGAACTTATCATGGCTCCAGAGACCGACTATTATGGAGCCATATGGATGAGTTCCTTTACCTTATGTATTACGATTTTAGAACCTTTGAAACTTTCTAACTTTGACATGTTTTTGGACCATATAAAAATAAGTGTATCCACTTCCATTTTTGGTTTTGCATATTATATCTTAGCTTTATGCTGACTGTTTAATACGTTTCAAGGTCACTTAAGATTCGTTCAAAGGTCGTCCATAAATCGTAGTCTCACCGAAATTAAAGTGAAGTCAGAAGTAAGCTCATCTACGTAAGTGGAGATCCCTCATCAACTACGCTCTCACAAACAACACCTGAAGCAGCAGTTCGAGAAATTCAGCAGTTTATAAACAATGTTTTAACATTATCAAATGCTATTTAACTTCCAACATAAAATTCCTACTCATAAGAAATTTTACAATGACAGCCGATCGCCCTAAACTGATAAAAACTAAAATTGTCGAAGTTTTGCCACAACGGTTTTTACAAGGATTGATAACAGTACAATTACAAACATAATAACTCACCAATAGTCGCAACCATGCCCAAAAGAATGCTCAGCTCTCAAGGTCAACCGAATTTTTAGATTACCCGGAGAGTAGCGTTGAAGGTCACATAAGCCACTTCAACGAACAATATATTTTACAGACTTATTAACTAAAAATAACTTGTTCCTGGTATGATTTACAAGTACATTTTCAATGTTTCTGTTAATTTGAGGTGTTATAATGATGTTTGTTAAAACTGTTGTCAATACGTAGTCAGGTAATTCAAACGGTTCTGGGTGCAATAGAAGGAGCATTGGCATACGAGGGCTTCCATATTTAATAGCAGTGGATCACCGATTCCTTCAGCAAGGAACCTAGGTATATGTAACGATGAAAGAAAAGAATTAGTAAATTACAGTAAGATGGAATATCACCTCTCGGACGTGTATATTGTGATGTTTATAGGTTCATTGTTTTATTCACAGTTTGCAACATGTTTCAGGTGGAATTCTTTACACCTTGAACTATTTTAGGTGAGTACGTTGTTATTTGTTTCACTTTGAACTGGTATGAGAACTTCTTGAAGTGTCAGCTTAACATCAAGGTTACAAACGTCTGTCCAGAGTTTCACATCGTCAGAGAAAAGTAACGCATCTGACGATTCTAGTTGAGGAAAGTCGGTTATATGGACTAATAAAGGAAGAGGTTCTGGTAATGAGGCTAGGTTAGACATTAGGGCATTTTACAGCCTGAAAAATAAGGAGTTTACACTGACCTCAAGAAGTTGACTATTTAGATATGAATTAAACCGATCTAGTAGCAATTAGTTGGTGCGTAAACATTCGGGCTTATTGATGAGACATATATGATTGACCCTATCGAAATCTATTGAGAAGTCAAGCTATATGACATCGACCTTCACCTTGATATCATGTTTCAGCTTAGCGAACGTCAGTACATCAAAGTAAGTGGTTTTGGCATGAATAAAATTGCTTCCTTCAATGTAGCATAATGAACTATATCCCGGCCAGGAGAAGTGTCCTCGTTTAGATTCTGTAGTGAGTACATGAGCAAATGTTAGCTAGCGAAGTAAAAATGACATGCATGGGAGATGGCTGGTAAGCCAACTCTCTATGAGCAAGCATTAATCAACATTTATAGTCAGACAAAAATGAATGACAGACATGTAATAGGTAGGATAAGAAGTGTGCATACACATTCGCTCATATAAGAAAATAGTCAAGGTCAATAAGCGAATAATTAACAAGATCAAAATATGACTCATTACGTTATAGGTGAATTGGCTTGTCCAGAAACTAGAATAAGCTATGTAGGTGTAATATGGTACACGACTCCCCACAGACATCTAACATAACATTTTCGAATAATCCTTGATCTTTGATAAGCTTGAAGAACTCGGCTCTAGTAAAGTTTTCATTTTCAACATGCGTGTGTTGAGAGAAGTTTACTTCAGGAAGATTGAAGTCTCCTAGAATTAGTATATGTGTGTGTCCGAGATGAAGAGAGCACGACAATCCCCGCAGCATACGAATGTCGTACTAGGTATCAGTATTGGGCTTCCTGTAGAAAACTCCGACAAAACATCTCGAGGGGTTAAACAATCTTATTGAGCACCACACATTCTCATTAAGATTGATAGACTCTTTAGTGTACACTTGATGTGCTACCAAACAAGATCATAGGTACAGGGTTGCCCCACGCCTCATTCCCGTTTTTTCTGTCGTTGTGAAACAAAGACATCTCTGGTACCGCTAGATTGTTGTTCATAACTTGATGCGCATATTTCAGATATTCCTGTCAGAAGAGTATTATTAGCATTCCTCAGTCCATGCGACTCCTTCATCTTGTTTGGTAAACTCGTGGCGTTTTTATGGGCAGTTAATTCTTTTGATTTGAAACGCGTAAGCTTTTCCTCTCTATTCACCTGAATAAGCCTTAGTTGAATGAATAGGCAACCTACCTACACAAGGTTTTTAGAGTTGGTGAACGTTTCTCCAGGTTTTCGGACACGTTGAGGTTGGGGTTCCTTTGTTTGCTGGTTAGATAGAGTTTCGGATCCCCGTGATCATTTCTGACTAGTTTGACAACATCAGGGGTATATAAATGTGATAATTACGAGTATTTGAACGATTATACAAACTAGGAATCCCAGAAATAACACAACTTCAGTTCACACACACACCACAATTACACAATTACTTCACCAGCTAATTTTCTAACTGTACCTAAGGTGTTTAGTATTTTTGACGATGACACTCTATCCGTTTTAACCCTGTCGATAAGACTTCAGTCACCTACAGAATTTTCCAGCACCACAGTTGCATCTAGGGGGTCTGTGATGGGGGACACAATTTCACTGAGAGGATCTAACACCAACGATGGCGCTGTTGAGTTGCAGTATATGATAACTAGTATTAGTGTGTATCCCATAGATACTAATGGTGTCAAATATCCGCTTCTTTATTTTCAGGGTTACTGACAATTATTTTCGCAGAACTGTCAATAGAATGATGATGATGCCCAACAAATCCTCAGTATTTTATTTCGCATGTACCACATATCTACCTAAAATTTGAATCAGTATAACTGTTGTCAGCAGTTATTGTAACATACCCGCATACTTCACTATACCAGCCTTTGCATTTGTCACACTGCATACCTCAGGTGACACCAAAACGGCATCCAGATACTTTATATGTGTCTTTCATGACCATGGTGAAATCCAATTTGTTTAACAGAGAGTAGCAAGGTTTGTGAATGAAGAACAATATGCTGTGAACAGATTATACAAATAAAAACAGATGTTATAAAATGTTAGGAAATAGTAATCTTGATTGAAACAATTTGTTAATAAACTCAGGGAACTGAACGCAAATTACAACTGTTTTCTTATTTCACGTAACACGAGAGTAGCTATGATGTTCCTTCTGTCGCTTGACTTTTCACAAAACGGTAACAGGTTAATAAATTTTCATCAGGATCAAAATATAGGTCAGTGACAATCTTGATTGTGGCAACTGCGAAATTATTGATAAATAAATAGCGTGACTAATTCGATTTACTTGAGACTAATCAATATATGCGAATTTGATTAATACGCCTAAACATCTTAAACGCAGGCTGAAAATGTGTTTCAAATATCGTTTGCAGACGTTCAAAAATCTCGTTAAGTTAATCATGTATTTTCCGTCGCTAACTTATATATTCACATCGTTTATTACTAGGGCTTAAAAAAAAGAGCAACCACTGCAACTCCCGCAACGCGAACTAAATGCACCAAAACTAATACGAAAGAACATTTATTAGCCCCAAAACATGACGAAGACCCTAGTCGAAAAATACACTCATTATATATTGATTGGACATTTATTTTGATTATTAATTAACGTAAGTCACACATATGGAAAATACTAATCTATACATAAAACTACCCGTCCGAGTGAGCCCGA